GGATATCAAAGGAAAACAGTGGATAGCATCGGAATCCGACAAAAAGTAACCGACCGAATCCGATTAGCCGTATCTCAACGGATTTGAAACCTATCCGACAGGATCCGATATAGCTATTTCGACCTGGGGCTTTAAAGATGTTAAATACTATATATGATGATGGTTATAATGCTAAATTGATTTAGATTAATGGATTTGCAGGTGAACATAAGTAATTAAAATGATGAATTCGAATATTCTCTATCAAAAACTCGATATAAAAAATATTCATAGAAAAAAAAAAATTAAAATAATATCTATCATTTTGTTAGCTATTTCACAATTAAACAATTTATGCTATTACAAGCATCTAACATACGCTGAGATATGCTTAATAACATTTAAAAAAAAAACGTCTTTCACAATATGAATATATCTAGTCGTTGCTACACTGATATCGTTTTCTTATTTTTATCACGTGCGCTTTAGTTTTTTGAATTCAAAACATAGACATGCCTTTTTGTCGTCAATTATAGGATATATAATAACGAATCAATCTAGAAGTATAAAAAAAATTGATCGTTTGGTTTGTTTGTGCAATTGCGATTCATTCATTAGAATGAATTAAAAACACTTTTAATTAAAAATTTGCTGATATTTTTAGATCATGCAGAGATCCAAGTCGATTGAAAGTATCACATCAGTGACATCATCATGTCGAGGTGGAGAAAAAAAAACTCCACCAACACATATGTTAATTCCAAGTGAAGTTGATAACAAAATTTTGTTGTTGTCAGTAGCACATTTGGTTAATAGTTCAGTAACACGTATTAAAATTAATGCAACAGCAACATTCAAAAAAGATATTAATGATCGAAAGCAACGTCGAGGAAAGATTATTCAGTTGGGTGAGTATTCAAGAATCTTACATATTTCTTTTTCATTTTCCTGTTCCATAGGAACCAAGGAAATATGCATGGAGCAGCTTCAAGTTTTTGAAATGACAGCTGATGCGAATGAAGAAAATACAGCTGATGATGAAATTAATCAAATAAATAAAAATGAAGAATATGACAAAAAAAAATATCTTAGTAAGTGTAAACAACAACACTGATCCAGCTTAGTCAAAGTTTAGAATGAAATATTATTCAAGGAAGTACATAGTAAATTAAAAACACAGTACTTCTTGTTCCAATGGTTAAAAGATCTTGTCGGAAGATTTTCTTTATTATAGTTTTCATATTTATGAAAAAGAATTTCATAACTTGAAACTTGACTAAGAAGGTCATACTAAAACATTCTTGTCTGATACGTGCTATTAATGCTGGCGAACAAGGAATTTGAAATATATTGAGCTCTAAATCTGTACCATAAAAATTTTAGTAGCTGCTATGAAACAAAAAACAATCTTTTTCAAATAATTAAGTTTTATATTCGAAAGAACAATAGGTGATTTTATGAAAACTCCAGCCGATTTTTTATTTTTAACTAGATCTTGCAAGAATGTTGAGATTGCTGTTGCTGCGCACTGTTAGGATTCAAATAGAGTAATTTTCTGATTTTTAGAAAAACAACGAACAGCATCGCGTGGCGAATACGAATACAACAGCACAAGCTCCAATTCAAGTATTTCGGTTAGTTCCAAAAATCAAACAACAAATATTATGAAAAAGAAGCATAACATGAAATCAAAACTTGTTCAAATCGATGAAGGAGGTAAGTCAAACAACATTATATAAATTGAGTAGTTTTGTGTTTGACTCTGTTCATTAGCTGATGAATCAAGTGCCGATGAAGATCAAGTATTTTGTAATGCAACAAATGATTCATCAAATGATAAAATGCCGTCAACAAAATCTATTCATTAGTCTTCAGCAATAAAATCTAAAAATAACACAAAAGCTTCTTCAATGAATGGTAAATACATCTTAGTTACAAGCTCTCTTAGTTTTGATTTATTTTATAGCATTTCAAACTGAACATCGAAATGAATCATCACAATCTTCTAATAGTCAAATAATTATCAATACTCAACCTCGAAGTATCGACAATGGTCAAAATGATGCTACAGTAATCGATACTTCGAGCTCAGGTTTTTAGGACTATTCATAATGTTAGTGTAATTGTGAATATTTGGTTCATTTCATAGGACAACAAGAAAGATTATTTGATTTAAGTAACACAGAACTATTATCTCGATACGAATATCTGTCAAAAAAATGTAATGAGCTTCAAAAAGATAATGCTGATTTATCACGTGAATGTGATCATATGACAAAAGAGATTCAAATGTTAAAAAGAACAACGATGCGTAAGTGTATAGTTTTTTACTTTTATCTTTTTAGTTTTATTAGAAAGCGTAGAATAGAAAAGATGTTAGAAAAATATCTTGCCATATATGACTAGATCTTCATGATCAACTCTAAAAAGTCAGTTTCAATACAAAGTGACGTTAAATAACTTTGAATATTTCGGTACTCCCCCACATATAAATGAAACATGATTAATGATAGCCAGAAATTAAGCATTAATGTGTTATTCATTTTGAAGACTAGAAAAAAAAAAGAATGACCAAAGAGTGTTCAAACGATATCAAAACAATAACAATTGTATAGAACGTACTTTATTATGAGCTACTCATGTTCTATCTACGAATAATAGAATGCTCTTCAAAAATATCAATGCTAGCTGAAAAAACTTTTATGAATGAGATAAAGCTAGTTTTTACAAATTCTGAAGAGAACATTTTAAACTTCTCAGCAACATATGAATATTTTTTTATTAAACATAAACAGTATTAAAACTTAGGTAAATTTTTAGCCATACCTGATGCTGCAGGACGTCAATGGTTTATTAATATGGGAAAATATTTTGCCAATAAAGCACCTGAATCAGATATTTCGAAATATGCAACTGCTTTGAAAATAGATCCACGAGATCTAATTGATTGCATAGAAGATACAATATCAAATACAGCCCGACAAGTAATTCGACTTTTATATTCATCAAATCAATTGTTAACTCTGAAAGGAACAGAAGTACCGAAAGCTACACGAGAAATAATTAAAGGTAGCCAGATTTTTTTCATTGATAGCAAAAGATTTACACTTATATTTTTTCTTTGAATAGAATTTGCTGAATCACAAACAGGTCCAATATCAAAACGCCAATTTAATGAAGCTATTAATGGTGTATTTCGATCAACAAAATGTGAAGTCAAGAAAAAAAAGAAGAAAGAAGGTAGCTTAATGGCATCGCATCAACGTTCAACATCAACTGATTTAAATTCCAATGAAGAAAATCATAATGATGAAGAAGATCCAACAGATAATCAATGACAATAGATTTTTTTCTTAGATGTTCTTTCTTTTTAGATGATCTATTCTCTTACATATACTGATAATAAAGCATTATATTTAGACTAGAACTTATGATAAATCTTTAAGTTGCATGCAATTGTAGATGTTCTCTAGAACCACCTTATGGCGTCGCAAAAAGCGGCTTAAAATGTTTTTGAAAGAAATGTTAGCAAGGAATGTTTCGTTATTCGATGAAAAGTATTTTATTAATTGTATTAGATCACTTACAAAGTATGATCTCTATAATTTAGCTTGCTCGATTCGCCATTGTCAAATCTTTCGAATAGTAATACTGATGAAATCTTACATCAGGTACAGCATTTTAACCATTTCGAAAATAAATCTCATTTCTTTACTTAGAGTTATCATTCTGATGTGTCAATAGTGGATAATGGATCACAGGATGTATCAGGCATGTATGAAGATCAAATGTGGCTTGAAGAATGTATGGATAATGATCCTTGGGAAAATGTAGAAATTGAACCAATGTTTCAATATCCTGTTATGGAGAATGACTTTTTATCTAACGAAATTAGTCAGTAAGTCTTAATAGTATATTTATTTCTGTATTAAACTATAATACATTTGTTATATACATAGGACTCCTCCAGAGAAAGATATTGCTGCAGCGCTTGTTTTATTAAAGGTATGGTTATCTTTAGAAGAGAAATGGAATGATATCTGTAACACTTATATCTAAGATGCTCTTTAGCTATATAAATCTGAAAATAATACGCACAAGGAACTCGTGGAATGTAGTCTTGATTTTTATTTGAATTCAAAATAGTTTTTATTCAAGAAACATAAATAAAAGCTGAGTTCTTTTCAAGAAAAAAAAGAATCTATATGATTGATTTCAATCGTTTTATTGTGAAGTAAGATGTATTCTAACACTTGTCACGTATTCTATAATAGAACCGAAGTATTTATTGTTTGTATCTCGGATAGTTAGAATGAAAAAAAAATATTGATAAGCTCATACAGGCACTTGACCATCGTTTAATTTTTATTATTATAAAATTTAGTTTATATTTGTCTGAATTATATGAATCATAATTATCTTCAAAGAAACTTTGTTAATACAGCTTGCAAATATCAATATTGGAAACCTAAAGCAACTCTTATTGACATTCTCAGAAAGAGAATTGTCAAGTTGTCTGTCAAGGTCTCTAAGAGGAGTAGAAATAAACTTATAACTTTATAAATCAACACTTGTTGTATCATCTATTTGCCAAAAAAAAACCATTATTCAGATGAGAGTTGGAAATAGTAAGTAATTGTAAAGCTTTTCCTATAAGATGTCTTTGCTAATGTAGAGAAATATTAAGAATTTAATCATTATAAGACCAGATATTATAATTTCATTTTCTAAAGGTTTTGCATAAATTTTACTTTAGTTTTATTCTGAAAACATGTCTATTACTAAGAATATCGTTTATTTTTGTAACAGGTACGTCATCGAATATCAACTAAGGGTATTAATGATTTATGTAAACTATTAAAACTGTTGAAAATGCCAAATGCTCCGAGAAGTTTTTATCGGATTAAACGTCTATTACTACCGAATCCTTCTGCATCAACTTCTGCATTCGTTACTTACATTTGTCCAGTTTGTTGTGAAGCAACAACATCATTGCATCACTGCAGCAACAAGCATTGTACAGAACATAAACGTTTTCATGCACCACCTTTGTATTATTTACGAATGCCAATTCTTCAACAATTACGAGAAATTCTTGATCATGCACCACCATTAAATTTTGAACAACAGCAAGAAAAACTTACTTCAGATATTGATGTAATAAATGACATATATGATGCAGAAGCCTACCAACATATAATAAAGAAAGAGGCAGGAAAAAAATTTTTGACTCTGATAATGAACGTAGACGGTATTCAAGTTGCTAAAAACTCTAATTTATCTCTTTGGATATTCACTTTTGTTATTAACGAAATCAAACGAAGCGAACGCTTCAAGCTAAAAAACATCATTACAGGTGGTATTGTATCGGCTGTGTCGAAACCCGATCGTCAGCAGATGCAAGCATTTTTGTCACCCATTGTTAGGGAACTTCTTATATTGGAACAAGGCGAAACTTTTGAAGTCAAAGGTCTAAGTGAAAACTCAAACTTGCATCTGAAAACATTTTTAATTGCATCGTGCTGCGATAAACCAGCACAAAGTTTAGTTCAAGGAATAAGTGAACCTATTGGAGCCTTTGGCTGTGGGCGTTGCGAGCTGCAAGGTAAAATTTCTATGTATTCATAATTTTCTTTTGTTAATGAATCTTGTCGCTATTTTAGGTGAAACAGTGACTATCAAAAAGAATTCAAGAAAAAAAATTCGAGTTTTTCCTCTCATTTCTGATCATCAGGAACAACCTCGTTTACGCACAAATGAAACTTACGACACATTTATGAAGGTTTACGCACAAGAACGTTTGCTAAATCATGTTGAGCTTCGTGATCGTTTACGAGGTCATATAAGTCCTTGTGTTCTTCGAGAATTAACTTACTTCGATGTTGGAACTAGTTTTTTATCAGATTCGTTGCACAATGTATATCATGGTGTGATGGTAAGAGATCTTTGCATCGTTTTTCTGCGTGACAAGGAAAAATTTATCCAAAAATGATGCCCAAAGATTGATGATATAAATCAATATCTGCATTTTTGTTCTGCTAGCATAGCGTTGCCTTTCTACTCATATTGATTCAGTTGGAAGCAATCAAATCCTTAAACTACTTTTGAGAATATTTAAAATACAAGAAATGTAAAAAAAAACTTGATAGAAATTAACTCTATAGGAAGAAAGCTGTACATGTTACAAAAAAATGAGTAAGTTGTGTTTCTGTAGAGGAAGGCTAAATTTATATAGGACTTATATTTATAGATTTTCGCGTTTTTAGCTTTAATAGAGTTTAAAATAAATCACTGATAACTATTAAACATAAAAATACATATCAATGTTCATGTAAAGTTGCAATGTAGACAACAACCCTACAATATTCTATCGACTCATATCTCTACCATACAGTTATGAGTTTTGTATCGATGATTCATTTCCACGTAATATCAACGCTGTATTCGTTTAACTCTTCTCTTATGTATTCTACATGATTGTTAAGCATATAAATTAAAGAAAATAAGTCTCAAATATATTTTTTTCAATGTTTGGGCCGTAGTGTCGAAATTTGTGCTATAAGATACAAAAGAAAATAAAAATGCATGTACTCATTTCATTAAATTTCATCACTCCATTGAAGACCATTGATTAAATATAAAAAAGTTCTTACTTTAAACTTTTTCTCTTTTTTTCTATCATAGACTAGAAGTATTAGATTAACATCTGAATCCTTTTTGTTTAGAAACGCTTACTTCGTCTTTGGTTTAACAAAAAATATAGAAAACAACCATGGAGTATTTGTTCTAAGTTAAATGTAGTTGATCGTTATTTATCTTCAATAAATTATCCATCAACAACTGTTCGTATACCTCGTTCGTTATCAAAATATGAACAGTACAAAGCAAATGAACTTCGAAGTATTCTACTATTTGGTTTTCCTGCTTTATGCTTTGTCCTACCACTTCGATATGCAAGACATTTTCTTTTACTTGTCGTTGGAATGCATATAGCTGAATCTCGTTGTATTCATCGCACACAACTGGAAGACATTCGTGTATTGTTTCATCGTTTTCTAAAATTGTTTCCAATTCTTTACACTCCACGATTTAATTCTCAGTCGGTTCACAGTTTGCATCATATAGCTGCAAGTGTAACTGAATACAGTTCGTTGAGCAATTACTCAACTTTTAATTTTGAAAGTGTTCTAGGTATAGCAGATCATCGTATAACTCTGTATATGATTCTATATTCTGTTATGATCTTTTTTATTATTCTAGGTTTAATAACTTCCACTGTTCACTCTACTCGTCGGCCTGCATGTGAAATTTAAAATAGCTTGAAAATGCTTCGTTCAGCTATAATTGAATTTGATCGTTCTTCATTCAACTGCAATTTAAAGCGTTTCATTAATATTGCTCAATCTCTAATTCATGTTTATAGTATCTAAGTTCATCTGAGGCACATTTCACATTTTTTTTCATATTCCAGCACATAATGTACGAATAGAACCTTTTTCCAAATCTTTATAGAGGAAAAAAATCAAAGTTTAAAAAGCATAAGAACCAAATATCAAAGCCAACCAGTATCATTAATAATATTAGAATATAACTGAATCTCTTTTCTCCTAAACAATTCGGTTAGCTTTATCTGAATACGAAAAACTTGTATTGATAAAATAGATGATAGCTTTAAAGGTTTTTCTTCTAAAAAA